TTGGCTGTGGCTGGTGGTGTCAGCTGTGTGCATGAGTCCTGCTTGGTCACTGTGGTCCAGCTGTGGAAGTGCAAACATCAGAGTCTTTCCCTGACCACGTCTGGGCCAGGCGCCATCTGACAAATGCTCCTTTTTACCCCAAATCCCCATGGTAGAAGGGGGTGGGAGGGTGGAGGATCAGCTGCTTCCCTCTCTCCACACCCACAGGAAAGCAGAAAAGATATTTTTCTCCTTCCTTTCTCTCAGCCGTGAAAGAGCAACGGGTAACCACAAAAAGAGAACATGTTGTGAGTTGGGGGGTGAATAATTCCAGCATGATTAGGACAGAGTAAAGCCCACTAGTGGATTTACAGTTTTATTTCTATAAAGCTGCCTGTGGTCCTTCCCTACCTCCCTGCCCCAAGAGCTGATCCATCTCAGGAAACATCTCCTTACTCTCTCTGCGTGCTCCAGGTTTCAGCAGGAAGACTGTACATCTCCAAGTCGCTTTATCTGTATTGTGTAATTAGAAGGGGATATCACAGAGAAGCTCACCAGGCATTGTTTGGGGTTTCACCACCTACATCCTGCCTGGTGCTCTCAGTCACAACTCAGCAAGTGGGTGGGATAAGCAGCAATGTCAAGATTTCCCTCCCAGCAAATCCCTGAAGCAGAGCAGAGCAGGAGTTGCAGCTCCCTGCAGGCACAGCTGCAGGGCTGGGGCAGCATTGCCTGTGGCAGAGTGCTGAGGTATGGCAGAAATCAGAATTCCAAGCCAGTGACATGGATCCTTGCACACGAACACTCCAGGGAAATGCTGCCCTGCTGACCTCTCTGCTGGCATGGGATGCAGAGCCATGCACAGTCCTTCCCTTCCTAATCCAACTCCAGGCAGGAACAATTTCCCTTCTGCAAAAAGGTGAATATTTGTGCTGGGAAACACACTTTTTTCACACCTGAGACAAGAACTGGCTGTGTAACCCAGCTGGAGTGTTTAAAGAGGAAGTGAAAGTATTTGAGTTGAGTTTTGCAAACTTGGCTACCTGTTAATTTTATAGAAGATTATTTTATTCTTTTTAGCTAGAAAGCAATCTCTGCTGACTGTGAATTTTCCTTCCTGTTATTTTTACATAAGTCTTTTCAACAGACCCAAATAATTCCAAGAAATAAGGTCATGTACTATGAAGATGCTTCTGCGTCATCTTCATGTGCCAATCACAGGAGGCTGATTTTCTGTCCTGATTGCAGTGGGGGCACCAGAATGTCCAGCACAATCAGCAGCTGGCACAGAAAATGTGGGGATAAAGGGCTAAAGTCAGTGGGAGAATGAGAAAAGGACAGGTTACACAGAGGTTTTATCAACTGGTGGCTCTGAAATTAATTTTGTGTTATGGGCTTTTTCCCAGAAGACTTAGAAAGTGAGTCCAGCCATCTAAGAGCTGTTTGCAGTGGGGCTTTTGGAAGGGAGATGAGGTGCTGGCAGACTGAGGACAAAAAAAAAAACCCACTTGTAAATTACAAAGCAGTTTGCTTCAGTTAACAACATTAAAGACACCATGGAATATGTAACTGGGGTATCATTTGCAGGCAAGAAGAAAATACAGAGACAAATACCATGCAAAATAAATATGTCAAGGACAAACGGTTTCATGCTAATTGCATTTCCTTCTGTGGTGGGTAACAGGCCTTGTGGGGAAAGAAGCCTTTTATTTATTTAATATGATAAGGCCTCTAACACCTCCCTGTGCCCCACAGCACCTTCATCCCCATGGCCTGAGCAGAACAACCCCTGGATCCCCCACCCATGGCTTGGTGACACCTGGGCTACTGTCCCACCTCTTGGGGGTATAAATTTCAGTAATAACCTGGAGAAAAGAACAGAGAATTTTTTTATGTGGGGAGCACATGGAGGTGTTAAGGACAAGGACTGCAATAGAAATAGAGTTTCCAAGAGATCTCAAGGGTTTGGAGGAAAGGGCTGAATAATCAGACATGGTGCAGAAGAGACAAGGCAGGCAGGGACAGCACACAGGGAATGGCTCCCACTGCCAGAGGGCAGGGACAGATGGGATTTTGGGAATTGGGAATTGCTGGCTGGGAGGGTGGGCAGGCCCTGGCACAGGGTGCTCAGAGCAGCTGTGGCTGCCCCTGGATCCCTGGAAGTGTCCCAGGCCAGGCTGGATGGGGCTTGGAGCAACCTGGGACAGTGGAAGGTGTCCCTGCCCATGGCAGGGCTGGGGTGGGATGAGGTTTAAGATCCTTCCCACCAAACCCCCCTGGGATTCTTGGATTCTGTGACACCAGCAGGGTTGCCCTCCTGGACAAGAGCAATCAGGAGAAGTGGATGGCGAACAGCTGACTTGGAAGCCGCTCCTTTGGCAGAAATAGATGATCACAAGATGGGAGTGAATCAGCAAGGCCACGGCGCTGCAGGAGAAGGCAGAGAGCTCTGGACACCTCTTCAACCCTTGGGGAACACACTGCGCTTCCAGGCATTTCAAGGAAAACAAAGCTTAGTGGGAGAGAATGAGTTCTGGAAAGTATCAGAGCCCACAAGTTGTTTAGTCCAGAAGGAGGAAAACAATGTAGACGTATTTTCAGATATGTGGTCTCATGTGAAGAAGGGAATTTTATCATTACATTCTCGTTGTCTGGTGGATAAGGGGAAATGTAAAGATCCTTTTCCTATCACATGTTAACAGCTTCGAGTACAAACCACTGAGCCACGCTGCTGAACATGAAATAAATAAATCAGTGGGAAACCTGTTGTTTTTGCACCATGTTTCCTAAACTGATCTCAGACTGAAATTCGGTAAACCCAAACAATTTACCCAGGGCAAGAGATCTATGGCAGGCAGCAGCTCTGGAAACACAGCCTCCTTTGAGGCTTTATCAGGTTAGGTAGTTTTCATTTCCTTTTTCCCCAACTCCCTTCCAAAGCTGACTCTGAAAATTCATGCTTACTGCTGTAAAATTTCATGTTCAACAGTAACCTATTTTAATATTAATTTGTTAGGAAATGATGCAGACTATCACAGCCAGGGCTTCTTGTGATGTTTGGGATACTTCTCTAAGGGCACATTTTGTTCTGGCAAGCTACTTTCTAGATCATCTTTAATAAAAAATCAGCCACCATTGATTTTAAATAACACTTTGTTCTGAAACAAACAGCATACAGGTGGTAACATTATTTTTAAGGATCCCATTTTCTTCTCACTGTGAAATTACCATCCTTATATTTCTAATTAAGAAGTTTTAGTGAACTAACAAGTGACAAAATTGGTAACAATATCTGGATATTAAAGAATGCTGGGGTTTGGCTGGTGTTTTGGTTTTGTTTTTAAAAATTCTTGTATATTTAATTTTAAATCAAACATCAGGCTTTGCCCTTTCACTTTTCTTCAAATTATTTCCCCCAGATAACAGTAATTCCTACAAAACTAGGAGAAATGGTTTCCAGGTGATTTTTTTTTTTTGCTTTTTCCGCCTGCCACACTACAAGGAAAAGTGAAAATGCTGATTTTTTTTAAAATTTAAAATACTCCACAATTACACACTTTGTTAATATTTAGTGCTGTAATAGAAATCATGATGCCAAAGAGAGCCTTGCTGGTAGGAGGAGCTTTGTGAGCAGTCCTCAAGTTCTGACTTTGTGCTGATGTTTGCTCTCCAAGGAATTTAACTTTGGGTATCAGCTTCACCCCACTTTCTGCACGCAGATTTCTCTTTTCAGCAGCAGGCACAGTCTGCTGCCTTGCAAAGCAGCTGCAGCTTAAATTCATGTGCTGTGGGCAGAGGCTTTCCATAATCTCCCTTTCCTGCTTTCCTGTTGGAGAGCTGGTTCAGCACATCCCCTCCAAAATCCATCTCCCCCAGAAAAACTGCATCACAGCAGTTTTTGACAGGAAACTTGTCACTGCTGCATCCTGCAGCCCTGCTGAGGGGTGGGTTCAGCTCTGTTCACACTGCCAAAGGTTTGCTCTGAAAAACAAACCCCGGGCTGCCAGTCTTGCACCTCCTGCTTGTTTGTAAGAGCATGAGGCTTGGCTGATGGGAATTAATTGGCATTTGCAGCTCTCTGCAGCCACTGAATTCCAATACTTCTCCCTATACCCGCTCAGCCTCACATTCCAGCTTTTCGGATGAATTCTGAGTGTCCAAACCTGTGTTGTGGAGTCACAGAATAGTTTGGCTTGAAAGGAACCTTAAACACCATCTGGTTCTATCCCTGCCATGGGACAGGAACACCTTCCACTGTCCCAGGTTGCTCCAAGCCCCATCCAGCCTGGCCTGGGACACTTCCAGGGATCCAGGGACAGCCACAGCTGCTCTGGGCACCCTGTGCCAGGGCCTGCCCACCCTCCCAGCCAGCAATTCCTAATTCCCAATATCCCATCTGTCCCTGCCCTCTGGCAGTGGGAGCCATTCCCTTTGTGCTGTCCCTGTCTGCCTTGTCCCCAGTCCCTCTGCAGCTCTCCTGGAGCCCCTTGAGGCCCTAGCAGGGGCTCTGAGCTCTCCCTGGAGCTTCTCTTGTGCAGGGGAACAGCCCTGAGCACAGGGGCAGAGGGGCAGAACCCCCCTGCCCTGCTGCCCACGCTGGGGGATCAGCCCAGGGCATTGAGTCCAGTTGTTAACCCAGCACAGATCCACGTATTCCCACCACTGATCCGCATATTCCCACCACTGATCCGCATATTCCTGCTGTTCATGGAGCATGTGATTGAGGAGATCGGCTTCAGACAAACCAAAACTGACAGGCTGGGTGAAGGGCAGATAGCTGTGGGTTAGCAACCCTGGAAGGCAAATCTGTTGTAAAGCTTTGCGCTAAGAGCTTTTCACACCGCTTAGTGTAACTTCGCTGGAAAGTTACATAAGTTTTGGGGTAGGGGGCGGGGAAAAAAAAAGAAAAAAAAAATCACCAAAAAAAACCCAAACCGCGCTGAGGTCAAGAGTAATTTGCTCCGGCGGTTCTTCCGGCACTCCCTGCTTGGAAATCCGCCTGTTCTGCCACGGGGAAAGCGTCCCGTGGGTGGGTGTGTGGGCAGGGCAGGGCAGGGGCGGCCCGCGGGGACCGGGAGCGGTGCGGAGGCACAGCCCCAGAGCTGCGCGGAGATGGACTGCGGAGTCATCACCTCCAAGACCGTGCTGCTGCTGCTCAGCCTCGCCTTCTGGGTACCGCGGGGATGCCGTGCGGGACGGGGAGAGGATGCTGGGGACGTGTCCGGGCACTGGGCTTGGCTGTGCGCTCGGACATTTCTGTAGCAGCGCCTAATTGCGTGTTTTTAAAGAGCAGGGAGATTATGGGGTTTGAGTTTCTAAGGGAAAAAATAATAAGGTCAGAGCTTGTTACTTTTTTTGTTCGTTTTTCTTTTTCTTCGTGGCGTGTTTGTAATGTAATACTCATGTTTTTTATGTAGTACTCGTGTTTTTAATGTAGTACTCATGTTTTTTATGTAGTACTCACGTTTTTAATGTAGTACTCACGTTTTAATGTAGTACTCATGTTTTTAATGTAGTACCCATGTTTTTAATGTAGTACTCACGTTTTTAATGTAGTACTCACGTTTTTAATGTAGTACTCACGTTTTTAATGTAGTACTCATGTTTTTAATGTAGTACTCACTTTTTAATGCAGTACTCACTTTTTAATGTAGTACTCACGTTTTTAATGCAGTACTCGTGTTTTTAATGTAGTACTCGTGTTTTTAATGTAATACTCATGTTTTTAATGTAGTACTCATGTTTTTAATGTAGTACTCACGTTTTAATGTAGTACTCACGTTTTTAGTGTAGTACTCACGTTTTTAATGCAGTACTCGTGTTTTTAATGTATTGTAGTTTTTAGTACTTCTTTTTAGTAGTGTTTTTAGTTAAGGCAGTCCACAGCCGCGTTTTGTAATCGGGAGCAAACGGAGCCGCACGGCGAGGGAGTTGTACAAAGGCTCTGCTCCGTATTTGGGGCGAGGAGGCTTTTGGGGAGGAAAACTGCTGAGAACTTTGTTCCAGCTATGTCCTTGGCACAGTTACGGCTTTCCAAATCCGTGGTAATTATTTACAAGCGAGTGAGAAAATGAGGGTGGTGTGTATACTTTTTAGCCCAACCCGCGCTGTTTTGGGGTGTCGGCATCGGGAGGCTTGTGGCAGCCTCGTGATTGTTCGGAAGTCTGGGGGTTGTTCTGGTAACCAGGCTCGGGCATTCGCCCTGCACGGGGAAGTTTGGAAAGCCCCCACCATCACCACGGACCGCCCTGGGACTTGTGTGCTGCGCTCAGGGAAGGGCCGTGACAGACCTCAGGTGTGTCGGGCTCTGGGATGGGGCTTCACGGCTGCTTTGTAGCACCTGGATGTTCTCCAGATGGGGCTTTTCCAGCGATGCTCCAACCTGCCGGCGACAGCCAGGGCCTGGAGTTGGGCTCAGCATGGCAGTGGCCTTTGCCCTGGGTGTAGCAGGGGCTCTTCCTCAAGAGAAGAACCAAAGTTTTCCAGAGACATGAGGAGGGAGAAAAATAAAGCAAAAGAAGGAATCCTGCTCTAATTAATCCCTGGGGCCTCGTGGGGTGTGGTGGGGAGCTCATCCCCTCCATCCTCTGCCTCCTCTATGGAGACCAGGCATAGTTTAATGCTGTGTGTGCTCCACGTAAATCCTGAACCGCTGGCACAAATGGAGCTGCAGGCCAAGTCACTGCTGCACACCAGGTGACATGATCTCATGTGTCTGCTTGGTTTGTGGTGATTTCCTTTTGGTGGATTTTTTTTTTTTTTTTAAAGTAGCCACAGAGAAACATTGCAGCATCCCTCTGTTTGTGTGTGGAAAGCTTCAGATCAGGTGTACCTCTGTTTGGCATCATGGCTTTGCTTTTTGAAAATGAAACAACAGCCTTACATCCTCCTAGAAATGTCTCTGGTGCTTTTCCTTCTGCTGTAGGAGCACTCTGTAGTTGCGACTGGTCATCTGCTTCTGTGGACTGCCAGTAATGATCCTTGTGCACGTCTCTGGCCTGTGAATTTGGGGTGACCCAGATCTTTTGGGTTATTTATCATCCCAGTAAGAGCAGTGCAGCCCAGTACCTGTGGCATTTAGATGCTGCTGCCACCATTGTGTGTGCTGATCACATTCCAGCAGTGGAACTGCAGAACCTGGAATTCTGGTTTAGGAGGGTGGAGATGGAGGGACTGATTCTTTTATACTCCCTCAGAACATTTCCAGCAGTCAGGGCTCTGTAAGTACAAGGCTCCAGATGATTGTGAAAACAGGATTTGCAAAGAACATCAGAGCTCTTCTCCAAGGAGTAATTCATGTCCAGACATTGCACACTGCAGATTTTTCCCAGCTCAGAAGTGATTATGGAAAATAATTCACCACCTGCATAGTCAGCAGATGGTGCAGATGTGGTTCTTTGACAGAAGTTATTACTCAAGAATATCCTAAAAAGGCAAAAAATCCTCTTTTGGATTTCTGATCGTTATCGTGCAGAGTGAAGGAAGTCAGATCTTCCACAATGACAAATCGGGCTTCCTAAATGAGGTGAAACAACAGCTTTTCTCCTAAGCACCAGGCTCAGCATTGTATGTGCAGGTCATTCTGCGGGTGAGGGATTTATGCATAATTCCCCCAAGAAACTCAGTGATTAAAGATTATTTAATTATAAGGTTACCACGGGTGGTGCTTCGGGCTGTGGGAGTTCTTCCCACCTCCTCTCCTGCTCTTTAGCACCTACCAATTAGGTGTGAGTGAGTGGTTGTTTTGGTGAGTGGGTGCTGGCCTGCTCCAGGTGAAGACTGAGCATTCAGGTTTATCTCATGGGACCTAAAAGAGCAGAAGAGAGAAAGGGTCAGAGCAGACCATGATGTTCTTGGCAATGTCTTTTGAGGGGACTTCGCTGGGTGGGATGTGATGATCTTTTTGAAGGAGAGAGGTGAAATGCTGGGATTCACTTCCTGGTCCAAAGGAAGAAACTGAGAATGTTAAAATTAGCTGGAAGCTTTGTGCTCCAGTATTTCTGCATAATGTGCAGTAGACACCTTCCAGATCACTTTTAACCTCAAAGCATCCAGCACCTTGCCCCTGCTCACCTTCAGCTTCATTGTCACTAAGCAGCTCTCTGCCTTCAGAGGGGATTTGGCATCCACTGGTGGTCCTGGGGATTAGGAGATAGACTTCCACCATCCTTGTGGGTCCCCTCCAACACAAGATATTCTGATTCATCACCAAAGGGCTACCTTAGGTGTTCCTGCAGTGGAAAATCCTGCTTGCCCACATTTCCCATTCACTTTTAAGCAGAGGTGGGCACTTCCCCAGCCTCCTTGCTTTACTTGCCCAACAGCAGGGAGGAGCATAAGGATGAGTTCCTGCCCAGGGGGCTTTAGCAGGACCAGGGGATTTGAGAGAGCAGCATTTGATCTGCTGACAAGAAGTGCAGCCCCCTGCCATGAGCAGGAACCTTCCATTAGACCAGGTTGCTCAGGGAATCACTATATTGGTGTGGTCCACTTTAAATAATTTTTAGTGATTTGGAGGTATAAACTTACCCACAAGAAAAATTCCTGCATGTGTGAATGGTTTGAAATCACTCATGCCAGTAATGAGTACTTTGGGAATGCTTACTCTGAAGTCTCAGTCAGAGAGAAATTTGGATGCTTTTAATGAACAATGCATTGGATAGCAAAGATTTCATTGAGGAAGGGGAGGGGAAGGTGGTGGGTTCCTTGGGAGTTGGAACCACGGTGATTTTTTAAGGTCCCTTCCAGCCCCAGCCATTCTATGATTTCTAGCTCGTCTCTGAATGCTGAGGGCAGAGCAGCCACATGATGCAGGGTGGTCACAGGATGGGATCCTTTTGAGCATGCCTTGAAAGGGTAAAGTTGCTCCTTGTTTTGAATTACTCAGCCCAAAATCAGGAAGAGGAACTGAACAGCCTTTCAGGAAAACGTGGTCAGCAGAGGGGAGGTGTTAGGACAGTGATGCAGGTTTGGGGGAACAGCCTCAGCCAGACAGTTCCTGTGGCAGTGGAAGGATCTGTCGGATGGCCAAGCTCTTTATCCAGCCCTAAAGGCACTTCGGTCTCTTTGAAGGTCTCCCAATATGCAGGTCACCAAAAACAGAGGTTAGCAGGCTGAGAATGTAGGGGTGATCAGCCTGGGGACGAGGAAATCGTGTGGAGACCACATAACAGCCTTCAGCATCTGACAGGGGCTGCAAGGGGAATTCTTCATCTGTAGTGATGGGAGAATGGCTTCTCACTGAAAAGAGAGGAAATTCAGGATAGATATCGGGAAGGAATTGTTCCTGTGAGGGTGGTGAGGCACTCTGTAGGTTACCCAGAGAAACAGAAGTGTTCCATAACAGGGTGGACAGGGCTTGGAGCAACCTGGGACAGTGGAAAGAGTCCCTGCCCATGGCAGGGCATGGGACTGGATGAGCTTTACAGGTCCTTCCCACCCAAACCCTTCTGGGATTCTGTGGTTCCATGTTGTGGAAGCGCATGTGGTAATTACAGGGGCTCAAGAGGTCCCATTTTAGTACCTCTTTAGCAAGATTTAGGATTAGCTCTGCTGTGATTTGGGCACACTTTGGTTTAGTTGCAGCGTCCAGTGTCTGAGCCTGGAACAGCTGACTGAGAAATTGGGGTGGTTCCGAAGGCAAATATTGAACTACAGGGTGTTTTGTGTCCAGACAGGCTGCTCAGATCCAAAACAGCCTGGCACTGGCTGATAAATCAATCTGTGCTCAGCTGAACTTACACTCCCTGCAAGCTCATGCCCTGCAGTCTGTGTATTTGGGGAGAATACGAGTGAAAATGGGGGTTCTGACAAGTGAAAACGGGTTTCTCCTCCTCCTGGTCCTGTTGCCTCTGTGATTGTGATTAACCCTATCCCCAAGGCAGGGATTTAAGCATTAGAAGACGTAGGAATTGGGGCAGGGTTCCTGGCTTTGAACTGCTGTACAGTGTCTCCGTGAAGACATCCCACCATTTGTGCCAGGTATGTGCTGGCTTTTAGGGATGGGAAAATAACACTGGAATTAAGCTTGGGGAACGGAAAGCAGTATGCTAAAACAACTCTTAAGGTGGACATTTACTTAGTATAGCTTGCAAACAAGCCCACTAAACCCAGAATCCCCTCTGAGTGTCTGGTTTTGCAGCATGTAAACTGCAGAAAAATGTTGGTTTGGG